AGCCCTGGAAATGCATCTACTGCCATTGGACCCACAGGACTTTCCACACGATCTTCCTGCATTCAGTCATTGCAGGTGCTGCTTGACTCTGAAGAGGAATTAATGGGCTAATATCAAACTTACGGACTTTATCTGGACTGGGCTGGGATGTTTTAGTGATGCATAATTACTTCTTTAATTAAAAAAAAATTTGTTGGGGGCTTGTACAACTCTTATCACAATCCATACATACATCCATTGTGTGTCAATCACATTTGTACATTTGTTGCCATCATCATCCTCAAAACATTTGCTTTCTACTTGAGCCCTTGGTATCAGCTCCTCATTTTTCCCCTCCCTCCCTGCTTCTCCCTCCCTCGGCACAATTACTTCTTGATATAAAGTTCTCTTATGTATATATTAGAGTCTCTGGATTTGCTTCTCTAGTCAACCTGGACTAACACACTTAGAACGAGACTGTCCAGTTGGGGGTGGGCAGAGTCAGAGAAAGTTTAGCAGAGGTAGAGAGATTTCAGCTAAGCTTTAAAGGAAGGTAAGATATGAACAGATTGAGAAGGGCAACCCCGTAAGAAGCGAACAGGCTAGCATAAACAGAGATCAGGAAGTAATACAAGGACCAGTTGAGACGATGACAAGGTGAGTGAAGGTAAGGCATCAGTCTGACAAAATTTCTGGAAAGGCCTTGCATGTTTATTAAGGAACTTGTGGTGGTGCCAATTCTTAGACACCTCCCATTGAAAGGTGTGGCCCGCTTCCCCTCCCCTTGAATCTGGTCTCTGACTGCAGTGACCACAAGATCTTTACCAGTTCTGATGGTTAGCCTTTAAGGTATTAGCAGCTCCCCCCTAGAACTCTTAGCGGGACTTATGAAGAAGCCCTTAAGACAGGAGAAGAATGTGTGTGTGTGTGGGGGGGGGGGCTGAGCCCTGCATTCTGAAAGTCTCTATGAAGTAGAGAAAAAAATGATGAAGCCATCTTGGAAGCAATCCTCTCTAGCCTTAAACATTTCAGCTGATACCATGTAGGTGCAGGGGAAAAAAAAGCCCAGTCAGGCACTTCCTAATTTCTCAACTCACAAAATTGTGAACAAACTAAAACTATTGTTTTAAGCCATTATAATTATGAGGTAGTTGGTTATGCATCAACAGATAGCCGAGAGAGCTCTAACTTTATTTCTAGCCAATGGGAAACAATCCAGACAGCTGTACTTTAGAAAATTCAATTGACCTGCAATATATAAGACAAACGATGGAAGACACCTGGTGGCAGAAAATGCAAAATCCCAGAGCCATGCAGTCTGAAGCAGAGGTAACATAAAGACCCAACCCCAAACCACTGTTGAGTCAATTCCAATTCAGCAACCTTATAGGTTAGAGCAGAACAGCCCCAATGGTTTCCAAAGCTATAATCTTTATGAAAGCAGACTGCCCTATCTCTCCCCTCAACAGAGGGGGATAGGTTCAAACCACCCAACTTTCTGATTAGCAGTTGAGCACTTAATCACTGAGACACTTTACTGTTAAAGGTTCCTTAATGGGAGGTCTGCCTATAACAGAATATCAAGTTTAAGTTGACCTAGTTGGAACTGATCCAATGACAGGAGGAATGCAGGGATTTCTGCATATAATTGAGCATCAAAAAAAAGAAAGGAGTCAAAGTTAACCTTGAAGTTAGGACCCAGTAATTGGAGGATGATAATATTAAGAAAAAAGGCAGATGAGTTCACAATAAGAAAATGCAATGAGTTGTTAATTTTAAAACAGACAAAATGAAATAAGTAAGGTACAATAGCATCCGTGATTACAAATACAATCAGGCTGAAAATTTAACCAGAGTTTAAGAGGGCTCTAAATATCCTGCTACCAAGGTTTTTCTGTAATAGGAAAGGTTGCAGGCCAAAAATTAAACTCAAAATTTTCAATTAGTGGCAAGATTTTTAACAAGTTAAAAACTAGTTCAGAAACTAAGAGAGTTAGTTCACTTAAAACAAACAAATGACCCTGCCATTGCATCAATTCCAACTCTTAGCAACCCTATACATGGCCGTAAGTCTTCATGGGAGCAGAGAGCCTCATACTTTTCCCTCAAAGTGACTAAGTGGGCTTGAACCACAGACCTTTTGATTTGTAACCCAATGCTTACTGAACAGTGCCACGAGGCTCCTTCCATCTTTGGGGGGTGAGGGAGAAATATAATCTTCTCTACACATGAATCCTATGTAAAGTTATGGCACCCTTGCCCTTTCACCCAATACTACCTATAGGTTTCCTCTCCTGGCATGATTTCATATAGCAGTAAGAGTTGCTTATAAAATGCTGCATCATGAGACCCTCGCAAACACAGCTAACAGCTGATACCTTCTACCTCTCTCTCTTTCTGCAGTGATAATGAACAGTGACAATGTTCCTTCACTATGCCATATTCCTTGCTTCCCTTCAAGCTTTTCTCTGGGGCTTCTATCTTCTTCACCGCCTCGTTCAGCTAAGCCAATTCTATCTGTGTCACTTCCTCAGAGGAAAACGCCTCCTGACTATCCCCTTTGTTCATTCACACAACATCCATTACTTCTTTGAAGTCCCATATATACTCATGTATACGCCGAGTTTTTCCAGCACATTTTTAATGCAGTTTTTGTGCTAAAATTAGGTACCCCGGCTGATATTCGGGTCAGCTTATAATCGCGTATATACGGTACTTAAAGCATCTGTAATCATTCAGCTAATGTGACTACCTAACAAAAGCAGCAACAACAAACCTGTTTTGTACTTAAATCCAAGGAAGTTTGGCATCTCAGAACTCACTCTCAGGGCTTTGGCTAAACAGCCTTCACAGGTATGGCAGGATAATTACAAACCAAGTCCTAGGGTTCTAGTCCTAAGGCTGTACCCCTTAGTGGACTAGGTAGGGTTTTCTTGGCTGTAATCTTCATGGAAGCAGATTGACTTGCCAACTAGTACAAACCTCAAGTACAAACCAAGTGCACCACCCAGGGGACTCTTAGTTATTTCTTCCCTTTAGTAACTAGGATAGTTTTTTAACTAACCTCCCTTCACTGAGAGGGTTATTATATGAAAAATGCCCCCCCCCCAAAAAAAGAAATGCTTATAACAGTGTTTGGCACACAGCACCATATGTGTTGCTCTATTATTATTAATCCTACAAATTTAAAGTTTAAGGCAAGCTTGCGTTGTGTGTCTATCACTGTCACTTTCCCAACAGTATGTGCTTGCTTTGTTGTCTGTGTCACAGGTTGGTCATTCTCACAATATTTCCAACTTTTCAGCATATTACTGCATACTTCATAAAGTCTAGGATAAAGTATGTAACTTTTCAAAATAACTTTTAAATCTACAGGGAACTATTCCCTTGACTCACTTTATTGTGATATTCACTTATTGCTCTAATCTAGAACCAAACCTGTTCTCTGAGGTACGCATACCTAAGAGAGGTATACCTCATTAGATAGTTCATAGTCTAGTTCTCAAATACAGACTTGCTAATTTTTCTTCAGAAACCTCCAGGTTCCCAGCTTCAGATCTCAATTTCCTTTACTTCGGAGGGATTTCTCCAGAGGGGCTGCAAACCCTCTCTGATTAGTGGTCTTTAGTGCTGTTGATAGGTGCCGGAAGTCAACTGCAACTTAAGAGCTTCCCCATGTGACCAACTCCAACTGTTCCACAAGTTTTCTAGGCTGTAATGCCGAGGGAAGGAGCCTTTGGTGGGGCAGTGGCAGAGCCTGGCTATCGGGTCAACAAAACCACCAGGGAAAAATGCGGCAGTCTACTTCTGTAAAAGATTTGGTGTCTGAAATCCTATGAGGTAAGAGTCAGAACCCACCCATAGGCAGTGGGTTGGTTGGTGTTTTGGTAGGGTGGCACAAATATCATTTTTTTAATCAGCTACATTAACGGTTGGCAGGTCCCCCAAGCCATGGCACCTCAGAACCAGGACCTGGCAATCTGCTAACACGTAGAGCTGCCCCATAGTGTTTCCAAGGGTGTAATCTTTACGGAAGCAAGACTGTCTTCTCTTCCCTCCGCTTGAGTGGATTCGAAGCTACCTTTTGCAGTAACCACCAGGGTCACCCCACGTCAGAACCTACTGGAGGGCGATGGGTCTAGATGAGTGTGTTTATTTGTTTAGATCTAAATTGTGGCCCTCAGGCTCTCCAGCCCTTTCCTCAGATTTACACCCTCCACCCAAGAACGGCGATCACCAAACAAATACCCAAACAAACGAGGCGGTCTGCCTTCAGGCAAGTTGGGGCCTAAGTGCAACCCGGCGGGGCTGGGCTCTGGAACCTTCTCCGCTCGGTCAGGGCCCCCCTCCTCCCAGGCCCCGCGAGGGGCTGAGCCCAGGAACTCCCAGCCTGGGGAACAGTCGGCGCCCGGAAGCTCTAGGCGACGTTTGTCAGCCGACACAAGTTTCCCGAAGTTTCGGGAAAGGGGACGCACCGCCCGGTGCGGCCAAGTCGCCTCAAGGAAGTCGCCTCCTTCTCGGGGCGTCCGGGCGGTGATGGCACGGTCGGGGTCGCGCCACCCGGGTCCGCGGACCGAGGCGCCCACTTCCGCCCTTTGACCCCGGGGCGCACCGCCTGGAGCTTCAAGTCACCCGAGGGCTCCCCGCGCCCGTCGGCCTTCCCTCCCTTAGACATGGCCACCCTCCCATCGGGGCGGCGCAGGCAAACGACCCCACACGCCCGCCCCGCCCCCCGGCCCCTGCACCTTCCCGGCCGCGGGGCGCACGGCGAAACTTCGCCAAGTAGCGGGAGCGGCAAGGACCGGGGCTCGCCCGCCGGCGCTCTTTTGTCGCTCCCGCCTCAGCGACGGCCCCCCGCTCCCGGACAGCTGAGGTGGCCCTCAGGCCGCCGCCCCGGCCTCCGCTCCGTCCCCGTCGCGGCCCCTCAGTCACGGCGTCTCACCCCCGCCCCCACAGCCGGGCCTTCCTCCGCCTCCCGGCGCCGACCGAGGAGTCCTGCGCGCCCCGCCGCCCGCACTTACTCGTCCCTCAAGCCCCGGGTTAACGAAGAGGTGTCGGCGGACTCGGCCGCAGAGGTTTGTTTTGTTGTTTTTAATTCACACAGAGCAGCGGCCGACGGCACCTCCGCCACCGCTGCCCCTGCTGCTGCTGCTGCCGCCGCCGCCGCCGCGCTCCTTCCGGCCCTTCCGCGGCGTCACCTTGCGCCTGCGCACAGCGCCCCCTCCCGACTACTGACAGGAAGAACCATAGAGCGACGCTGGGTGCTGGGGCGGAGGGGCGGAGGGAGGGGACCATAGAGAGGGCCGCCTCGTCACTGCTCTAGTCCCCCTCACCGTCCATGGAAACTTGACTCCTCCATTAGGCGGGAGGACCAAAAAAAAAAGAGTCTTGCTTACCCCCAAGAGGGGCTACTGTCTCCCCAGAGTTGGGTAGAGAAGGCTGGGGGTATCTAATCCATAGCCACTTACTTGCTGTGTTGCCTTTGGGAAGTCACTCATTCATTCAAATTTTTTTCTTTTTTTTTTAAACCATTTTATTGGGGGCTCATACAACTCTTGTCACAACCCATACATACATCCATTCTGTCAAGCACATTTGTACATTTGTTGCCATCATCATTCTATCAATAAATAGTTTCTGAGGGCTTCCCATACACCAAGCACTGTACTAGAAATTGGGGCGTCAACGGTAAAGGGGGTGTTCTCTTGAAAGTTATGGTTAAGTTCACAAGTTAAGTTGGTTAAGTCCAATAACTATGGTTCAATAACCTGGTTAAGTTCAATAGCTAACTAGCAAAAAACTAACTGACGAGAATACTGGCATAGACAGTAACTGTTCAGGGAAAGCAGTTTGAAGGAAACTCAAGTCAGTAAAAGAATGGAAAGTGATGGGAACTGATTGTGGTGAGGTAATGCCTCTCCTGAGAAGCAGGTATTTGGTCAGAAAATGAATGAAGTGAAAGAGTGAGCCATGGTGGCCACCTGGAGGAAGACCTTTTCAAGCCAAGAGTGCAGAAAAGACCAAGACTCAGAGCTGGAAATGCTATGCTTAGGGTGTATTCCAGACACAGCAAGGATGTTAGTTGGCTGCGATTGCTGTGAACGAGAGGGAGCCAGCTGCCAAACCATGGGGTCTTAGTAAGAAGCATGTATTTATTTTAAGTGTGATGAGGAGTTACTGGAGAATTTGCTTATGCTTTTCAGTGATCACTCTAGGAGCAAAAGGGAGAACCAGAGAGAGGTCAGAGGAGAAGCAAAGGACAATTAGAAGGCTATTGTGGTAGCCTAAATGATGGAAGGAGCCTTGGTGGCTTAGTGGTTATGAATTTGGCTGCTAGCCACAAGGTGAGCAGTTCAAAACCACCAGTGGCTCTGAAGAATAAAGATGAGGCTTTTGATTCCCCTAAAGAGTAACAGTCTTAGAAACCCACAGGATCAGTTTTACCCTGTCTTACAAAGTCTCTATGAGTTGGCATCAACTTGATGGCAATGAATTTTGAAATGATAAAGAAGAAATGAGCCTTGCTGGCAAAATGATTAAACAATGGACTGCTAACTGAAAGCTCAACGTTAGACTTCACCAGCTGCTCCGTGGGAGAAAAGAACTTGAAATCTGTTCCCATAAAGATTACAGCTTAGGAAACACTTTGGGACATTTCTACTCTGTTCTATAGAGTTGCTAGGAGTCAAAATTGACTCAATGACACCCCCCACCACCACCACCAACAGATGAGTAGGCAATAGGTACTTAGACCAGTATGGTCAGGATGGAGGTAGTGTGAAAGTATTTGATGTGGGGATTTAGTTGAAGGTAGAACAGAGAACACCAGAGGAAGGAACCCTGGCAGCATAGTGCCTGCTAACCAAAAAGGTTAACAGGCAAACCTACCCTTGCAGCTTTGTGAGAGGAAAGATCTGGTGATCTGCTCCAAATCAAACCCGTTGTCATCTAATCAACCCTGATTTATAACAACCTTCTGATGGAAAATAATGCCCCCCATAAGGTTTCCATTTTCACAGAAGCAGAAGGCCTCCTTCTCCTATGGAGTGACTAATGGGTTCAAACTGCCCAACTTTTGGTGATCCACTGAGCATTCAATAAACCCGATGGGACAGGTCTGTGCTGTCACTGTGTTGCTATGAGTCAGAATCAATAGCACACAAGAGCAGAACAGAAAGGATTTGCAGGAGGATTAGGTGTGAGGAAAGTTAGCCGTGGGTGACTACGCAAATGTTGGTTTGAACAACTAGGTGAATTGTAGATCCACTCACAAAGGGCAAGATTGAGGAAGAATAGATTTTGATCAAGGGTATGGAGAAGTAGGTTCATTAGGTTGCCAAGAAGACAGTCAAGTAGACACATAGGTAAGAATTTGTCATTTACAGGACAGGAGATCTAGAGGCTAGGGATTTAAATTGGGTGGTATCTTAGGCTGGTTCTCTAGAGGAGCAAATATATATATAAATATATAAAGAACTTTATATAAGGAAAATGGCTCACACAATTGTAGACATGGGCAAGTCAAGTCCAAGTCCAGGCAGGTTCCAAGCCCATGGTTCATATGTTAAGCTGACTGGAGTAGCTTCAGAGGCTGATGGACCCAAAAGCAGCAGGAACACCAAAGGCTGCTGGTTACAGTCGAGGATAAAGCCAAGGTCAGCAGGCTAGATGGTAGGTTAGATAGCAGGGCATTGAAGGCTCCTGCAGTAGGCAGCCAGTAGGGCAGGTCATTGGCTCAAACCCAAGAAACCAAAGGGCAATGTGCCAGATGCAGGAGCTAGACTTAGCAAAAAGCAAAGAAACTTTTCCATGGTGTCTACTTATATAGGAAGTAGACCACAACCCTGAGAAACTGTCCAATCAATTGCATCAGGGCTGCGATCTGAGCAAAGGAATTGCATTCCTTCCCTAATCTTACAACTGATCGTTTGCTCATTACAGATCTCATTATGGATTTGATTACTTTGTGTTAGGTCACACCGTGGAGGATTATGAGGCATTACCTGCAAATTCTAGAGAATCCTGGCCCAGCCAAGTTGA